GCATCGAGGGGGCTTCTCTCCTCTCCAACTCGTGTTCGGAGAGAACCCTCGGCTTCCCCACGATCTGCTCTCTGATGGCCACAAGGCGCTGCCTGGGTGGCAGGACGTCACCAGCCCATCCTCGGAACAAGACGAAGCCGGGGCTGAGTTTGCCCGGGCTCACGCCATCCGGGCAGCCGCCCGGAGGATGGCGATGGAGGCGACCGCTCGAGACAACATCTCCCGAGCCAGCCGGGCCAGGACCCCAGGGAATCGCAGATTCACTCCAGGCCAGTGGGTGTTTGTCTGGCGTCACTTTACCCGGATGTCCTCTCGCGCCGACGCCCTCGGACGGCGCCGGGCGGGCTGGACGGGTCCCGGGGTCGTGGTTTTGGCCGAGGGAGGCACGGTTTGGGTGGCTGTCCGGGCCAGGCTCTGGAAGTGCTCGGCCGAGCAGGTCCGACTGGCTAGTCCAGAAGAAGAGTGCGGCCTTCAGCTGGCTGAGGACCCGCGCTGGCAGGATCTCCTGCATGCTGTCCAGGCCCGTCGTGTGACGGCAGTGGACGTCCAACGCGAAGGGGCTCCTCCCGACAGTGCCTGGGACGAGGCGGCCCAAGCCGACCTCGACGCCGGGCCCCGGGTTCCAGGACCAGGACCTGCTCCGAGGAGCGATCCCGAGCCAGAGTCTCGAGCCCAGGCCCCCACGGTCACGGGGCCCCTCGGCCTCCCACGAAGGCCGTCCCGAGGAGGTCAGTCTCGAGCTGGATCGGTCGTGGCGCAACCAGGATCAGAGCGGACGGGTCTGCCGTCAATCTCAGAGGGGCCACCTTCAGAAGTGGACCGGTCAATCAACACTCCTCCGAGTCCTGCTCGCTCTCAGGAAGAAGTCGAGAGGGCCGACACAGGAGGAGGTTCCGTTGAGCCCGGGAGCTCTCTCTCTCTCTCTCTCTCTCTCTCTCTCTCTCTCTCTCTCTCTCTCTCTCTCTCTCTCTCTCTCTCTCTCTCTCTCCGTCTCTCACCCCTCCCCCTGGTCTTTCTCCTCCTGTCTCCTCCTCTCCTCCCGGGCCTCCTTCCGAGGACGCGAGGCCTTTTCCCGATACTCCTCATCCTTCTAGTCCCCCCCCCGACCGGGACAGGCCCGCTCCCGGAGCAGCCGAGCCCCGAGCGAGGATCTCCCAGCCCGACGACGTGCCGGCCTGCATCCGGGCCGCCCGGGCAGGGAGCGCGCCTCCCGAGGTCAAGAGGGCGAGGGCCCTCGACCCTGGCGCTTCCCCCGCGGCGGGGACCTCCTCTCATCCTCCTTTCCCTGGTGGTGGCGGTGGTGGTGCTGACTCCTCCTCCTCCTCCGGTCCAGGACCAAGCCCGGAGACGTCCAGAGCTGTAGTGATGGGTAGGGAGGACAGCCGATCCGTCATGGGGCGGGTTCGAGATATTGAGTCCAGGGGAAGGTCCCGCTCCCCGGGTCGAGGAGAGACGAATGAGGGGTTTGCGGGGGCCGAGCCAAGGGGGGACTTCTGGGTGGTCCCGGGCGCCGTGGACGGGCTCGGCACGATCCCTGTTGGTTTCGAGGGCGGGGCCAGAAGTCTCGAGGAGAGTTTTCAGGGCGGTGGCGTTTTCGCGGCCAGCCGAGGCGGGGAGGTGAGTCTGAATCAGCTTACCCCCCCCGAGCGCCAAAAGTTCCAGGCTTCCGACGACGAGGAGTGGCAATCCATGATGCAGTCCGGGGGTGTCCGAGTCATCCCTCCCGCCCAAGCGGCTAAGATCCGTCAGTTCCAACCGGATCGTATAATATCGAGCCGGATGGTCAGGAGGTGGAAGCCGGTGGAAGGAACGTTCACCGAGCCAGAGGCTACGTCCCGATGGTGCGTCCGCGGGCACAAGGGCCCGGACTCTGGATCCCTGGCCGTGTACGCACCTACTCCACAAACGTCATCCATCATGATGTTTGTCCAAGTCCTGGCCAATTTCAATATGTTAGGAGACATCGCGGATGTCAAGAATGCGTTCACCCAGTCCGACCCCATGTCCAGGTCCCAGGGTCAGATCTACGTCGAGCCCTGCGAGGGCATCCAGGTGGGGCCGGGGTCGCTCATCCTCCTGCTTGTGAATGTGTACGGACTCGACGACGCTCCTGTAGCATGGAGGCGCACTGTGGTGGGCCATCTGGAGAAGCACGGTTTTGTACGCAGCCTATTGGAACCATGCTGGTGGTTGAAGTATCGGTCCGACGGTACCATCCAGAACATGATGCTATTAGAAGTCGACGACTTCTTCATCGGCAGCTCCGACGCATCGGCCCGTTCCTGGATCCGAGGGGCGCTCGAGAATCGTTTTCGTTTCGGCAAATATCGTGACTGCCACGTGGGACCAGTAGATTTCGCGGGCCGCCGAGTTACGTTCGCTCCAGGCAAAGTCACGATCGACCAAGAAAAGTACATTCTCGAGGAGATTCGTCCGCTCACCCTGGCCCGAGGCAGAATGACGCACAAGAACGCACCACTGGAACCCACGGAGTTCAAGGCTCTCAGATCCCTGGTGTACAAGTTTAACTGGGTGGGGAGGGAATCACGTCCGGAGGCGGCTGGAGTTGCGAGTATTTTAGCCAGTCGGCTCCGGGCTCCGACGGTGTCAGATGTTGCGTGTGCGAATAAGCTAGTCAAACACCTTCGAGCATCTGCGTCTCGAGGCCTTACCGTTTGGAGGCTGAACCCAGAGCACATGGCTTTCATATCGTTCTCAGATGCTGGTGGGGTCGGCTCGGTCGAGTCACTGGTGGACGACAGCGGGCTGCCTTCCGATCCCACCCAAGGAGCTTGGATGGTGCTGGCCGCCGACAAGTCAGTTCTAGACAACCAATCCGTTCGAGCTTCTCTTCTGGGCTGGCGCAGCAGTAAGCTACGACGTAAGGTCCCGTCAACTCTGGCCGGGGAAACCCAGGCCCTGTCGGCAGCCGTGGCGGAAGTCGAGTGCCTACAGGTGGTCTACCGGGACGTCGTGTTCCAGGATGTCGACCTACCCGACTGTGTTCGAGCCTCAGGCCCGTTCACCACTGTCCTTCGGCGGGACTGTAGGCTAGGAAGTCGAGAGCAGCAGATTCACGTGGTAGACGCCAAGTCCATCTATGACACGATGCAGAAGGAGGGGAACGCGTCCGCCCGAGACCGCCGGACAGCACTTGATCTAGCGATCATCTGTGAGTCCCTCGAGCGTGCTCGAGGACGGGTCCGCTGGATTCCTCGCGGCAGAATGCCGGTGGATGCACTTACAAAGGACGACATCACCAAGTGCAATGCAGCGCTTCTCGATTTTATGTCTAGTGGCAGGATCGTTCTAGTGGATGAAGAGTCCGAGGTGGATCGACGTCGTGCCACCCCCGAGCTGAAGGACCGCTCCCAGTCAGCCTCCAGGAAGATGCTGGCCGGGCCTGTCTGGATTTCCTGGAAGGAGTACCTGGACGAGCTTGCTCCTCCTGGCCTGGTCGGTGGTGGTTGTGGTGGTGGTGTCCTCCCGTCCACCTTCTCCTCTCCCTCTTCCTCCAATCCCGCTTTCCAATAGTCTGCTATCCTCTTCTATCCTCCGCGCTGTTGCTTCGAGTTTCAGAGTTCGTCGATCGGCACGATGCCGACCGACACTGCAAGGCAGTGGACACGGACTTCTGTAGTGTTTCCCGGGGAATGCTAAACCTAGAGAAAGTTGGACCCATGTTGCTGGGGACCATATTTTGTGACATAGGTTTAGCATATGCGTTTCACTCAGGGACAGATGATCTGAGGACCATCATGTGTGACGTCCGTTCCACTTATGGCTCAAGGGAAAACATTTCGCTTGCCTCTCCTGCTGCCACATGTTGATGACGAGGATGGGTATTAGGATACTGATGATGATGCGGTTGCTGATGATCATGAAGATGCTGATGCTGCTGATGATGATGATGCTGGTGATGGTGATGCTGCGGATGAGTATGTTGATGCTGATGATGATGACGATGATGATGCTGATGATGATGCTGACTATAAACATGATGGTGGCGGCGATTTCGATGCTGATGATGCTGCTGTGATGACGATATTGTTGATGGTGCTTCTGATGATGCTTATACTATGGCGATGATGCTGCTGCTGACACTGATGATGCTGATGATGCTGATGCTGCTGCTGATGATGATGTTGCGGATGGTGCTTATGATGATGCTTATACGATGACGATGATGATGCTGATGACGCTGATGATGTCGATGGTGATGCTGCGGATGATGATGATGCTGATGATGCTGATTATGCTTATGATCAGGATGATGATGTTGCTGCTGATGCTGATGATGACGACGATGCTGATGCTGCTGATGATGATGCTGTATATGATTGCCATGCTTATCACGATCACCAAGATGGCCATGCCGATGATTATGAACATAATGATGATGCTGCTGATGATTTTCATGCTGATGATGCTGCTGATGATGATGATGAGTATGATGATGCGGCTGATGATGATGATGATGATGATGATGCTGACGCTGCTGCTGATGATGATGATGATGCTGATGGCGCTGATGCTTATGCTGCTGATGATGCTGATGATGATGATGCTGATGGTGATGTTGTTGATGATGATGATGATGATGATGATACTGATGATGCTGTTGATGATGATGGTGATGGTGCTGATGATGATGATGGTGGTGGTGATGATGATGATGATGATGATGATGATGATGATGATGATGATGATGATGATGCTGATGATGATGATGATGATGATGATGATGATGATGATGATGATGGTGGTGGTGGTGGTGGTGGTGGTCGTGGTGGTGGTAATGGTGGTTGTGGTGGTTGTGGTGGTGGTGATGATGAGGAGCTGGACGACTGCCACGATTATAGCGTTGACGATGATGGTAGTGGCGGTGACGACGAAGACCCTGATGCTGCTGCCGCGTGATCCCGACCCGTGGCAGCCACGACGGCCTACGCGCCGAGTGCGCGGCGGCCGACGGCCCCCCTCCCCTCCCCTCCCAGAAGGTGGCTCGGCGTGCGTGCAGCCCCGGCGGCACACCGCCGCCGTCCCGCGTCGCCGCCGCAGGCGCCAGGGGCCACGACAGCCGGGGATTGGCAAATACAGGGGAGACCCACGCCGAGAAACGCCCCGCTTGCCTCTGGGGTGCCCTGGGTTGCCTGGGTTTCGATGCTTCTGCTGTGGGAAGCGCGGCGTTCCCACACCAGAAATCAGTGGGCGTCCTGGGATCTCAGGGTCGGGTTTCTTGTGGACTGGCCTCCACTGTAGGGGGGGATGCTTCGACCGCCAGTAGCCCCTTGCTCGCCGATGGGGTCTGCCAGTCCCACCCCGCACAGGATCGTGCGGATCCGCCATCGGGGGCCTGTCGCCGATCTCTATTGGCGGCGGATCGCCGAATGCAGGTCGACGTTCCCGCCCCCTCGTCCCCGGTCCTGGCCAGGCCCAACATGGGCCCAGGAGGAGGAGTAGGAGGAGGAGGAGGAGGAGGAGGAGGAGGAGGAGGAGGAGGAGGAGGAGGAGGAGGAGGAGGAGGAGGAGGAGGAGGAAGAGGAGGAGGAGGAGGAGGTGATGAGGAGGAGGCGGAGGAGGAGGAGGAGGGGGAGGAACAGGGGGAGGGGGAGGAGGAGGAGTAGGAGCAGGAGGAGGAGCAGGAGTCGGAATCGGAATCGGAGTCGGAGGAGGAGGAGAAGGAGGAGGAGGAGGAGGACGAGAAGGACGAGGAGGGGGAGGCCAGTCCCCGTCCCATCAGAGCTTTGGAGAAAGATCGAGCAGGATTTCTGATCGGGCCTCATTTTCTGACGCTCTGGCGCTCGGGCGCCGCAGTCGCAGCACCCCAGACGGTGCCCATGTGCGGGCGGGTGGGCGTGCTTCGTGCTTCGTGCTTCGGCGGAGGAGGAGCAGGAGCAGGAGCAGGAGGAGCAGGAGGAGGAAGAGGAGGAGGATTAGGAGGAGGATGAGGAGGAGGAGGAGGAGGAGGGGAGGAAGAGGGAGAAGGAGCAGGAGGAGGTGGAGGAACAGCAGGAGGAGGAGGAGAGGAGGAGGAGGAGGAGGCGGAGGAGGAGGAGGAGGGGAGGAGGGAGGAGCAGGAGCAGGAGCAGGAGGAGGAGCGTGCCTCCAACCCTCGCTCCGTGCTTCGTGCTCTGCACTTCGTGCTTCGTGCCCAGCCCCTCCAGGCGGCGGGGCACCCGCGCCGCGCCACCGCGCGGCACGCCGGCCGCCGCTGAGTGCGGCCGCGGGGCGCCGCTCCGCGGCGGCCGCTGCGCGCGGCCCGGCGCGCCGTGGTAGCAGCGGGCCCCTCCGCGGCTCCTCCTCCTGCTCCTCCTCCATCCCTCCTCTCCTCCTCCTCTCTGCTCTCTCCCTCACTCCTCCCTCCTCCTTGTCTCCTCCTCCTCGTCCTCATCCTCCCCCTCCCCCTCCTCCTCCTGCTCCTCCTCCTTCTCCTCCTCCTCCTCCTCCTCCTCTTCCTGCTCGCTCCTCCTCCTTCTCCTTCTGCTCGCTCCGCCTCCTCCTCCTCCTCCTCCTCCTCCTCCGCCTCTTCCTCCTCCGCCGCCGCTCCAGGGCTCTGCGCGGCGGAGGCTCGAAGGAGCAGGGCGTCTGCTCGGCGTCTGCTCCGCCCCGCACAGAGGTCGGACAGGTACCCACACCGCTACCCTTGCCTCGTTGACTCCTTCTTGGACCTCCTGGGCGGCCCTCGTCGCTACCGCTGGATTCGCGTCGAGATTCCGGTCAGAACGCACCCCAGGAGAGGTCCAGGGAGTGGCGGTATCGGTACTTTTTGGTTTCTCCAGCCCCGAGGGCCGAGAGCAGGGAAGGACTTGATGCAATATGGCTTGGGGGCGCCTTAGCCCCGTAAGTGGGCCCTGTTTCCTGAATCACCAACCTGCAGGGCACGGTGGGCCGTTGATACTCATGGCCCGGGGACCATTTGGATCCAGGCCGCACGGGGTGGGCCAGCGAACCGAGAGAGCCTGGGTGCCGTGGACCAGGCAGGAGAAGGGCGGGGAGGATCGGGTCGGAGAGGGGAGGGACGCTGGGGAACAAGCAACGGCACAGAGACAAACTCGCATCGGCGCGGATCTCTTGGATTGGCATTGGGTCCCCCTCTGGCGGCGCCTCCGGCGCCGGTCCCCCGCGGCGCTTCCGCGCGCCAGGGAGGGTTGTGTCGACTGCACGTAAGAGTGACCCTTCGTCTGAGTGACCTTTGGCGCGGGCTCACCGGCGACCCCCCGATCGCTGAGCGCGAGGCGGTAGTGGCTGCTTGCGCGCTTGGATTTGGCCACCTTGAGCCCCCTCATCCGCGCGCGAAAGGTCATTCTTGTTTAGGGCCACTCTTGCGTGTAGCCTAGTGTGTCCTCGCAGAACCGAGGCATGCGCGCGGAGCTCCAGAGGTTGGTGCTTGTATTGTTTTTTTGGGTTGCGGGTGCGATCGCCCTGGGTACGGAGAAGAACGGGCTCGGAGATAAAAACGCTGGTGGGGGCAGTTTTGGCCCGAAGTAAAGCCTCTGGGGGCCTTCTCCCGTATAGCCCTCCATTTTTGTGAGGCAGGGGATCCAGGGGAGTGGCGGGAGGATGAAGAGAGACGAGGTTCTGGGAGGTGAGGGGTCAGGGGGGCGGGGGATGGACAGAGGGTGGCGGCGTGGGATGGGGAGCCGAGGTTGGACGAGATTTATCAGGACACGGAGACCGACATCAGATCCCGTTCGTTTTGGACAGGACTCGCTGTCGGCGTCCCCGCGCACGCGTGGTCCGCTTGAGACGGATGGCTGGCTGCCCACTAGCGGCAGCGGTCGGTTGTGGACAATATTTGCTGTTGGGCATCGTGCCCATGTTCTCCGTAATTGCCGCTGTCGGCCGTCCCAGAAAGGGCACAGCTCCGCGCCTTCGCCGGGGAGCCTCGCCAGAGGTAGGTGCAATGGGGGCCCCCCTGGCCCGGCGCTGCTGGAGGTGTCCCTGCCCCGAGAAGGAGGAGGCGGAGGAGGAGGAGGAGGAGGACGAGGAGGAGGAGAAGGAGGAGGAGGAGGAGGAGGAGGAGGAGGAGGAGGAGGAGCGACCAGGAGGAGCAGGAGGAGGAGGATGAGGAGGAGGAGGAAGAGGAGGAGGAGGTGGAGGAGGAGGAGGAGCAGGAGGAGGAGGAGGAGCAGGATGCCCCTCCAGCCCTCCCCAGAGCTGGCCTGGAGAAGGTGGCGAGGGGCACCTGGTGGCCCTTGTTCCCGGGATTCCCACAGAGGCCTCCCCCTCCCCGCGGTCTCGCCAGACCACCTGCCACGAGGCCAGAAGGGAGCCCCCGGGTGCTCCCGCGTGGAGGACCGAACTCCCTCCAGCAGCTCCTAACCTGGGTACGTTAGATGTCAAGTTGACCGAAAAGGGGGTCCAGCGACAAGGGGGTGGTGCAATTGATTAGGTGCAATAGATTTGTGGGGTTGCAATACATTTGGGGCATGCAATACATCCAGGGCGAAATGTATCGCTGGATTTTCCACGGAAGCGTCCGCTCGTCTTGGTGTGAATGTAGATCGGCGAGTGATGGCGCCGAGCGTCGTCAATAGCGCCCATTGGTGGCGCCCCGTAGTGCTCAGACAGCGATCAGATAGTACCCAATGGCGCCCAGCAGGGCCCCACAGCGCCATGTGAGGGAGATGCCTTCTGTCCGCTCTGCGCGCTATTGGGCGCCATGGGGACGACAATAAGCTTCCGTGAGCCGCTCTGTGAGGATTCGGGGGAGGAGGAGGAGAAGGAGGAGAAAAAGGAGGAGGAGGAGGAGGAGCTGGCCGCACCATAAGCGGGTGCATGCGTGCATGGGGCGCCCGTCGTCCGTCTGGTGGTGGGCTCAATATGATGATGATGGTGATGATTCTGATGATGATGCTGATGCTGATGCTGATGCTGATTATGATGATGGTGGCGCTGGTGATGACGATGATGATGAGGGTGACGACGATGATGATGATGATGTTGATGATGATGAGGATGATGATTATGCTGATGATGATGATGGTGATGATGATGCTGCTGCTGCTGATGATGATGATGATGCTGTGATGATGCTGGTGACGGTGATGATGGTGGTTGCGATACTGATGCGTGCATGGGGCGACCGTCGTCCGTCTGGCGGTGTGCTCAATCTGATGGTGGTGACGATGACGATGATGACGAGGATGATGCTGATGATGATGATGATGCTGATGATGATGATGATGATGGTGATGGTGATGATGATGATGATGATGATGATGATGATGATGATGGTGATGCTGATGCTGTTGATGGTGGTGGCCGCGATGATAATGACGATGATGCTGATATTGACCACGAGGATGATGGGAATGAGAACGGCGGTGATAATACGGATTTTAGTGATGATAACGATGATGAAGATGATGCTGATGACTATGCTGATGAGGATGATGCTGATGATGCTGCTGCTGATGATGAAAATGCTGATGCTGATGCTGATGCTGCTGATGATGATGACGCTGACGATAATGCCGCTGATGATGACGATGATACTGCTGATGATGATGTTGAGGATGACGATGATGATGATGCTGATGATGATCATGCTTATGGTGATGATGACGATGAACATGCTTACATTGATGCGGATGATCATGATAATGCTGCTGATGGTTATGACGCTGATGATGACGATGACGATGATGCTGATGCTGATGATTCTGATGATGCTGCTGCTGACAACGATGATGATGCTGATTATGATGATGCTACTGGTGATGGTGATGATGGTGACGATGAGGATGATTCTGATGATGCTGATGCTGATGATGATGCTGATGATGATGGTGATGACGATGCTGATGACGCTGCTGCTGATGATGAGGATGATGATGCTGATGCTGCTGCGGCTGCTGATGATGATGGTGCTGCTGCTGCTGATGATGATGATGATGGTGATGATGATTATGATGCTGATGATTGTGCTGTGTTCGAAAATATAGCACATGGAGGCCACGTGGTGGTGGAGGCCACCTGGTGAGATGGCCGCCAAGAAGTAGTGGAACGGGGAGGAGGAGGAGGAGGAGGAGGAGGAGGAGGAGGAGGAGGAGGAGGAGGAGGAGGAGTTGGAAGATGATGAGGAGGAGGAGGAGGAGGAGAAGGAGGCCCACACCTCCTTTTTTGTTCTGATGTCACGACGTTGTTAGGGCCGCCCTCGCCGCTCGCAGCCGCCACCGCTGCCGTCGACGCCGTCGTCGCCGTCGTGGTCGTCGTCGTCGTCGCCGCCGCCGCCGCCGTTGCCCTCGCAAGGGCAACGGTCTGCCCCCCCGCCCCCCCCGCCCGCCCGGCGGCGGCCGCGCCCCGTGGCGGGGACGCATGGGAGCGTCGCCGCTAGAGCCTTCGGTGGAGCTCCCCATGGGACCAAAATAATCCAAAGATAGTCCACAAATAGCCTGGGAACCATTTTTTTAATATTGTTTGACCTTTTGGGGGCATTTTTTGAGTCTTTTTTATTTTTCGTCGAACATCCCCCTGTAGGGGGGCACGCCCGACATAACGCTAGAGCCTTCGGTGGAGCTCCCCACGGGGTCAAGAAACGTGTGAATGGTGGGCAAAACATGGGTGGTGATGACGGCAATGTTGTTCATTACAGTCGGGGCCCTGAAGAAGGAACCCTTTTCGTTGGGGAGGGGCTCGGTGTTCCTTAAGTGTTTCACAGCTTGCCTCAGGTTTTCCTTATGTTTTCGATCGGAAATCGAAGTTTAACTTGTGGAGAAAAGGGCCTCGTTCCTTATTTAGGGTTCCTTAGGTCAAGGCCCCGACTGTATGGTGATGGGAGGAGGGAGGAGGAGGAGAGGACGGAAGGAAGGAACGTGGGGCGATGTCTCTTCAACGCGAGGACCCAACGCCACAGGATGGTTTGGACAAACACGCGCGACATCGAGACATGCACGGCGAAGGGACCTCCGAGGGCAGGCGAGCCTTGGCATCGCTCGGACGTGTGCGTTTTTCTCCGAATAGGCTTGCCCTATAGGAGTCCTAGCTCATCACACGTAATTGGTCTTTAGCTCCCCCCTTTTTTTCGAATGCCCCCCTTATTTCCAATGCCCCCCCCTCCCCCCTTTTTCCAATGGCAGCCCCCCTGATTTCCAATGGCAGCCCCCAGCTATTTCCAATGGCGGGTCCTATGCTTGCTCTTGCTTGCTTGCACTTGATCGCTGGCTCTCGCTTGCTTGCTTTTGCTTGCTTGCCTGCTCTTGCTTGCTTGCTCTTGCT